TAAAAACCTGAGCTATTAAAAGGAAATGTAAAAAAATAATACTTCTAAGGATCCTAAGAGCTGAGTCTTAGATGTGCATTCCCCAAATTTTACTGCAGTCTATTCAGAAAAGGGGAGGGGTGCGGGCAGGTTTCTGACCTTCCAAATAAAATTATAGTGACTAACTATTGCATTTAATGGTGCATAAAGAGCAAGAGGCTATTTTTACCCAGGTTCTGAGGTAATAAACTGCTTTCTTTAAAACATATTGGTGCAAATTATTCAGCCAAAAAACCTTTAGTAACTTCCCCGATGCGGAAAGAAACTGAACAACAGTCTGTGGCATTCTAAATTGTAAATAACATCATAGTTCATCGTGGTTTTTTGTGAGGTCTTCCCCATAATTGGTAGCTTGGCTTCCAACAAACATGTTCCAGTTGTCTAGAATTTCCTCTTTGGTTAACTTTTGATCCTACAAAAAACAAAACAAAACAAAAAAAAACAAAAAAAACAAAAAAAAAACAAGTATCTATTATTTTTAATACATATATACTGTAATACTTGTTTAAATGCTATATAAAACATCAGCATGAATTTATGAGCACCATTTAGTACAGAATTCTCCAAGGGAAGAGGTAACAGGGTTAGGGATCAGTGGCTGAGACGCTGGTTGTATTGGAATTCAGTGGCATAGCTCCCATTGGATTCAGTAGGGTCAAAAAGGTCAAAGTATTCTGAAATTAAGGCTGCTTACAGACATTAAAAAAAAAGGCACTTTACTTTAAATTGCTCACGCTGAGCCCAGAGCATGCCCAGAAGAGGCACTGTATTAGTTGGATGCGGCTTGCCCCATGTCTGTATAGATCAGGTGCTTTAGTGGGGCTTTTTGGGTGCTTTTATTTAATAGCTGATTGAATGAACTACTAGATAGAAGTGCCAAAAAGCCCTGCTGCAGTGCCTGATTTATACAGATGCTGCAGAGCTGGGCCAAACTAATGCACTGCTTCTACTGGTAAAGCATGTCTTTTTTTTTTTCCCAGGTCTGTCGGCAGCCTAACTGATCAAATGATTCATCAGCAATAAGAGCATGCCATTTGTATGCACGCACAACTTCATGTATGTTTTTAACTTTCCTTTCTGAGTATTTATATGGAGATCTTTTGTCTGGATTGATAAAGATGCTCAACTAAAATTAAAATGAAACTAAAAAATTCATCTCTATATATGGGAGTCTTGATCCATCAGATTTAAGCAATGGAATGTCAGCTGGACCAGCGAGGGCAAAGGCACCCCTCCTGCATCTACTGAATGATTAGTATCCTTTCCTAATAGATGCCCAATGGATGGGTCAAGCCTTAATCCACAGATGTATCCTATTTCTTACAGTCTTTTTACAGCTTTTTATTAATTTACTGATATCTTATTTGTCTATTACAGTTTAATATAGAAAGGTCTGTGACACCTTTCCAAAAAAGAAGAAATGGTTAGAAATTCTGAGGTGGAAAGCTAATTTTCTAATAGTTGGACACCAATGGATTTACCTGACCTAAGGGTATAGTATTTTGTCAGCTATTATTTGTGGTCTCCAGTTTTATCTACTCAAATTTGTATTGCTGCATTAAAGCATTAGCAAGCCCATTTAGGGCATACTAATAAGAAAAGTCATGAAGAATCATTCCTTGCTGGTTGACATTATATAAAAGGAACCAATTAAACACTTAATCTAACATTTATGAAATATACCAGAACATTAAGTACCTTGTCTACATCTGATTCATAGACTAAGTGCCTCGCTTCAGCTTGTGCGTGATCATAGTCTTGTGGGAGAATCCAGTGCCGAATCTCTTCTTTGTCCATTTTTCCATCCTTGTTTAGATCCCGGAAATCTGAAAACTGCTCACGTTCAGTAACTACCCAGTCAGGTTCTGGTCCACCCTCCTCATTTGCAAACATATCAGCTGGAGGGGAGATCAAGGTTTGAAGTCATGTTTAGTTAGTGAATTATATATAGTCCTCCAAGATACTTTAGCCAAATACTAAAAGTATCACACTTGTAGTTTGTGTAGGACTTCTGAGAGTAGTAAAATGGGGTGTATGGTGGAAGATGTGTATTTGCACACATCCTGTTCCACTAAACTATTTTCACCATTGATGGTTTTATCCATTATTAAATCACCTTTTCAGTACATAAGTGGAAGACAAGGGAAGTTAATGGGCATGCCCAGGAAAGTGAACTGGCCCTAAGGATGTCTTCATGCAGGGTGTACACATAAGGAAGTTTACAGGATCTCTCTCAAACTGCAATCATGATCCTTCAAGTCACACACAGACATATGGGAGGGGTGAGGGAGAGGAGGTGGGAAGAATGAACAGCAGCACTACGTCTTGTCCCTGCCAGCAAGTGTCTTTATGGATAACCATCAGAGCTCAGCAAGGAGTTGGTGAAGGAGTAAAAAGCAGAGGTAACTAAAGAAAAAAAAATCTGCTAAATGAAACTAAGTGAGCATTGTTCTGCTTTTAAAGAGAGCTGTATAAGAGAAATGCATCTAAGTGAATAGGTTAACTTTTCAACTCCTCAAGTAGAAACATGTTCAAATGGAAGATAAAGAAGTGTGCCAGGCTGGGAAAGGATTAACAGGTCTGAGACAGCCTGAGCTGTTGAACATCACAGCAATAAGCGTGCACAACACTGGGTGCATCTACACATGCTATTAATACACATGAATAAATTCCAGCACAGTTAGCACCAGAGTTAGCTGTTTCCCAGGTGCAACATCTTCATGTGTATCTGGGACCGCACCAATATGAGCCAGGGCAGAGCAGTCCCAGTTGACAGGGGAACCAGGGGGTCAGCCTGTCAGCACAGGGCTGCTCCCCGCCCCCCCAGCTCAACATGCTGCAGAGGGGCTGGCTGAGGCACAAAGGTGCTACACTGTGGGAGTAGGCATAAGGCAGCTCCCCCCACACTGTAGCATCCTTGTGCCTGAGCCAGCCCGGGTCAGTCTACACGTGTTTCAGCACACGTAATTACTCCACTGTAGGATAGTACTTGTCCTGGACAGTACTATCCTACAGTAGAGTTAATTCATTTACTGCGCCCTAATATGGGAACATGTGTCGACTGTAACACTTTACTGCAGAGCTAACTATTCAGTAGAGTGCATATGTAGATGCACCCACTGTGGTCTTGACAGAGCCCATTCTTCTGAAACCCAGACTTGGGACACTGTGACAGCAGATGGAAGCTGAATTCTGTTGTACAAGAGCTGCGCTACACACCAGACCATGCTGCAGACAAAGCTATATTCCTGACTGACCCAATCAGAAGGAAAATACCATACTGAAAGCTGTCATTTATGTGAGGAAAAAATAAGGGGAGCTGTAGGTAAAAGAGAAGTGGCGATATAAAGAGGAGGTATTAACTCAGGAAAGCTCTGGAGGACAGTACAGGTCTTTCACATTAGATTTTTTTTTTTCCTGTAGCATGAAATTCAACTCTAGAGGAGTATCAGTTCTCTCATTCCTCTTGCCCTCTTCCTCAACTGGGCTCTTCCCCCAAACCCACCACCTTCGTGCTTACAATGTAAACCTGTTTTGTAGCTGACATTCCTCACCCCTTGTGGATTTGGTTGCCAAGAAAGTGCTGGCAACAAGTGCATACTGTTTACATGTTCCTAAGCCTCTGTCAGCTTGGAGACCAGGTGCCAGCTGGCAACGGAAAGAGGTGCAGATGCAACCGTCTTCAGGATATGGTCCAAAATGAGCAATAAAAACCACATGTGTCCATAGAGCTAACCTGGATTCTCCACTACTATAACTTCCCTAAGATGAATGGTGCTATTAGGACTCTGGTCCACTCTGGTCAAAAGGTGAAATGTTTGACTGGGAAGATTTGAGCCCTACACCTTTTGGAGGTCTGATCCAAAGCCTGCTGCAATCATTGCAGGAGTCTCCATGGTCTTCAGCAGACTTTAGATCAGTCCCTTGTTTTGGAAAAAGAGATGGTAGTGTCCATGCTTGTCTGTTTGTTTATTTTATTCTAGGCAAAGATAAAATATGGATATACCTTACTGCAACCATGGTTTAGTGCCAAAAAAAATTGCTATCACCTTCTCACAAAGATAATTTAGGTACATTTTTCCCCCAACTGTTGAATAAAACTTCAGGTACCACCTTTTTTTTTTTCCTCAAATGTAGACACACAAGTTCTATATTGTTTATTTGAAGCAACTGACATGTCCTGTCAATTTGATTTTTATCATCCTTGCCAATGTGATGTGGTCGTGACTAGAACACTCCATTCTCCTATCTATAGAAGACAAGAGGAACCAGCATTCACATGGTAACAAATGTTGACAACTACCTTATAATTATATGTAGGTAGTGTCACTGAGTGAACAGAAATTATTGGGGAAATTATGCTGCACTGTTATTTCAGTCATAAATGAAGAGCATTTACATTTTAAGGCTAAATATAATTTACAAGGAATAGAAAATCCCTGCCATTTAATTAATGTGTGTATATTGTTCTTGATTGTATGTGAAGGGATTTTAAGGTAGTATCAGAAACAGAAAGATTCATCAGAATTTAGTCTAATACTTTTATGATGGTATATTTCTTCTTCTTTTTTTTAAACAATCACCAAGGGAGTGCAAAGGAAAGAGCTAGCTTTTGGTATCAGCATGACATTTCACACAGGCAAAACACGCTGCACTGCCAAACTCCTGGGTTGTGCCTTCAAGGATCCAAGGGCATGACAGCAAATAAGCACCTAGTATGACCAAAGTTTGACCAAATTAACTCACTGTGATTGATTTACTGTTCATGCTTCCCACTCTGCTCCCTTTGTGTCTCCTGAGTGATGTGCTAGTGCCCTTAATTCAGGCACTTCAGAATTATTGAGTGCTTGACTTTCCAAACTTAATGGTCTTTTAACAGTGTTTCTTTGATGTAATTCCTAAGGAGGGTGGTAGGGGGGGTTGTTTAATTTAAACTGTAAAATAAAAAATTCCATTATGTGGAACTAAACTGACTCTTCCTTAAATCATCACTAGAGCTGGGATCTTTACAATCATGGCAGAATTTCCTATCACTTGAGCTCACAAAATAACTGGCAGTGGTAGAAAGCTGTTATCTGCTACATGGAGATGATACTAGACATGCACTGAGGCACATACTTTGCTGGTAGGTTTCACAGCTATTTCCTAGATACAGAGGAATGTTGAAACTCAGGAATACTGGTTTCACTTCCAGTTTCCTTAGCCCAGTGTGTTCTGGTTGTTACAGTTCCTTCTGCTCCTCAATCCATTTTGCTGCTATCCTGCTTGGCTCATACCTGTCCCCACACCTGCTTCTGGCCTGCACCTCTCTTCTAGGTTCCCGCTTCCGCCTTCACATCCCCTCCCTTATTTCTAACTCATTCCCCTCCCTCTGCTTCTGTTCTTTTATGGCCTCCTACTTGTGTTCCTTCCCCTAGTTGGTTCCTACAATAACCAATTCCCATGCTCTTCCCTCTTCTACTACCCTCCTCGATCTCTGGCTCCTCCCCCTACCCCCCACCCCACTCTTGTTCTTATCCCACTTGTCTTCTAACCCCCGTTCTTCTATTTTCCCCTGACTCATCCTCCTAATCCCTTGCCCCAAGTTCCTATGCAAATGTTCTAAAATAGGGGTGTCAAAATCACCTCCTGCCCTGAGCCATTCCAGACTGTGGGACTCCTTGTGGCTGGGATCCAGCCCGAGGCAGAGAGTGGCACAAGCCCAGGACCTGTAGTCTCGGTGGCAGCTCCGGTTCTGGCCCAGGGCATGCAGTGGCAGCAGCAACTCAGGGCACAGGGCACATGGCTCTGGCTCTGGCTCTGGCTCTGGCTCTGGCTCTGGCTCTGACCCTGATGGAGCCACTGACGGAGGAGGAAGGAGTGTGCAGGCCAAGTAGCTGCTTGCCACAGCAGTCGTGGTGGTAATGGGAAAAGCAGCCACAGGATGACGAGGGCTTCATCAGCCTTTGCTCAGCCTCCTATTGCCAGTCACCACATCCACTGGGGCCCACAGGCTGGATCCTGCCTATGTCCTGTATGTTTGACACTCATGCTTTCAGATATACCATCCACTGTTCTTCACCCCTCAGGCTGCTTCTCAGGAATAGTTACACTTCCCCAAAAATCAGCCCTAGGCTGAAACCTAGATCAGAACATTTCGGCCCAAAGCATTTACATTTGGCAAACTTATAAGCAACAGAAAAGCAGGCTTCTATAATGGAAAATATTGGGTAGCTTTTAGTCCAGTTTCACTACCTCACTAAAATTAAACAAAACTTTGTTCACTTCAAGCAATGGGATAGCTACACAAACTGTATCTTTGTGCTGTTAATATTAATTTAAACCCAAAAGGAGTGGTCTATAACTGTCTATGTGTTTCTTGTTAAATGTTAACAAAAGTGAAAGAAACCCTCATCCAGCACTTACCAATGTACTCATCTTGATCCACAAATCCATCCTCATTTTTGTCAATATCTTGCAGCGTTTCCTAGAAAATATTTTTATGAAAGTCATTAAGAGATAGCTGAAAATTCCAACAAAGGTCTTTCATTAACCAGGACCAAGTTCTTCCCAAAATTATAAAAAATGAATTCCTACAGTCAATTTTAAATTGTTTTACCCTTTTTTAGCCATGCTGTGTTTTAGAACAGTGGTTCTCAACCTTTTTTACACCAGGACCCATTTGTAAGCATCAGTGGCCAGTCCTGACCCAGTGCCCCTCACTCCCAACCCACTGCCTCCCACCCCCAGGCCCCAGCCCCACAGTGTGTGGGGCAGGAAGTGGGTTTAGGGTGCATGGAGGCCCCCAAGCAAAGCACCTCACAGGCTGGAACTCTGCCATCCTTCAAGGGAAAAGCCCTGTTTCTCACATTGTTCTCCTTTAAAGGAGAATCCATTTTTAAAAGTTTGTTCGTGACTGTTTCATATTGTCTTGCGAGCCACTTTTGGGTCATGACCCACAGGTTGAGAAACGCTGTTTCAGAAGACTTCAAAACTTAGAGAGATGGCCTATTCTTGTATTCTTTGTACACAGGATACTTTATTCTAACTCCAATGTGAGTTCTGTGATCATAAGGAATACGAAAATCTCATGAAGAAATTCATATGAATGAATTTGGTGACTTAACTACCTAGACCAGCAATTCTCAATCAGAGTTTTGCATCACCCTGGATGCTTTGAGATCCTTTTAAGGGTGCTCTATGGTGCTACACAATGTTCACTGTTTGGCATGCAAACATGATTCACAAGATAAACTCAGATTTTTCACACAGGGATCCATAGTGTTAAAAACATTTTGACTTCTTGTGTCTTTCTGAGTTTTTTGCAACAGAAGAGTTTCTCTATTATTTTTCTGTAGTCAAAAAACAGATGAAAACCCCGAGCTAATATTTTCTGAGGGATGCCTTGGTCTAAAATGGTTGAGAACCACTAACCTAGACATTTACATTGCACTAGTCACTTCACTATCTAGTACCAACTCCAAATATAATTTTTAAACACGCAGCCAAACACCTAATTCTGTTTTGATAAATAATTTTCACCAGTATTTTGGTACAAATTTGTACTCTAGACACTTCTGTTTCACTGAAGAGTGCTCAAAGTAGTTGGTTGTTTGTTTGTTTGTTTTAAATCTCATTAGACAAATTGAAATAGGGCGCTTATTTATTATTTTCAGTTTTATTTGTATGTGTGTCTCTAAAACCCTGCACTGAAGGGTTAAAGAAGTGCTTCAAAGCTCGCATAAGAGGAATAAAAGCATACGGAATGTCACTGGTTTTGTTTTGCTTACCAAGACAACTATGTCTTTCATATGCTCAAACTCCTCTGGGTGAAGGAAAGCTGTGAACTCCTCACGCGTGGCAGCTGAGTCTCCATCCAGGTCTGCAGTTCTGAATCGCCTCTCATCCCTGGGAAGCATTTTTTTAAAATTGTGTTGATCAGTCGCATCTTGAAATTCTTCTGGATTTTCTAGAGATTAATCAGAGAATCTCAAAACCATGCATCTTTACCGATACATTAACTCTGTGTTTAGACTCACAACCTGATCCTTTTGCTATGTTATCATCATGTGAGAGACTGAGTTGCTAGAATATACTAAAAACTTGTATATATTAAAGGCTCCTTGTTGCTACAGTGGCTACATTGTTACTATGGGAGACTTTGAGATTCTAGTTGTAAATTGAAGATCAGGGGCCAGCCATTAACACGTTTCTGCAATGTACCCGGGTTCTACCTTAAGAATGACAAGCCTAATGTAGTTTACTTCAACACTGCTGCTCCCAAGTTTTAGGAGTACATTCTTTCCTCTTCCCTACTTCTCTCCTTATTAATCTGTTCTCTAGGCACAACTTTTCATTTCAGAAAACAGTATGAATGAGAGAATAAGCTTGGTCCATAATCTGGACACCCTAATTGTAAAGAAGTTTTTCCTATCGTTCAGCCTGAAACTATCTTCCAGGAGTTTGTGGCTGTTGTTTCTAGTTTTCCCCTTCTCAACTTTTCAGATATACGCCTCTGATATAATGGTAAGCCACAATCAGGTTCCCTCTCAGCCTTCTTTTCTTTAGGCTGAAGAGTCCAAGATCCCTCAGCCTCTCCTCATATGGCTTTGCCATGCAAGTCCCTGATCATACAGGTGGCCCTTCTCTGGATCCTCTCAAGTTTTAGCACGTCCTTGTTGAAGTGTGGCACCCAGAACTGGACACAATACTCCAGCTGCAGCCGCACCAATGTTGAGTAAAGCGGGAGAATCACTTATTTGGTTTTACTGGAGATGCATCAATTGATGCATGCCAGAGTTTTATTGGCCCTACTGGCTACTGCATCGCATTGCCGGCTCATATTTTTGCTGGGGTTTATTGTTACCCCCAGATCCCTTTCACTTGTAGTGCTGGTCAGGTAAGCGATACCCAGCCTGCAGGTGTGCTGGGGGTTCTTCCTTCCTAGATGCAGCACTTTGCATTTCTCTGTGTTGAACCTCACCTGGTTCCATTCTGCCCAACATGCCAGCCTGTCTAAGGCTGCAGATACAAGCAGACCATCTGAGGGTATGTCCGCACAACCCCATATCTTGGTGTCATCCTCGAAATTGGCCAATGGGCTTTTCACCCCCTCATCCAGGTCATCGATGAAGATACTGAACACCTGGGGTACACCGCAGCCCACATCTCACCAGGACAACATTTGGTTTGGTAGCTTTCATCACTGAGTCTTTATCTCTTAAGTCTGAGGCAGGTAAAAATCCTACTGCAAGTTCTGTGAATACATTTTACATGGGACTTGATTAAGTTTTCCAGTAAAGGGAACTAGCTTCTGTTTAGTATACACTTTGGAGAAAAATCATTTAGGTCGGGGCCAAGCAGCTTCTGGATTATGCTAAATATAAAATGTTCCTGGTGAGTGTAATATAAATGTCTAATTAAAATAAATTATTTGGGTCTGTAAAAATTCCTTATTGTCAATTCCTACATCATTAATGATTAGCCAAATCCCCCTTCTGTTCTTATTTCCAACTCCTCCACTATTTTTCTGTTAGTGTATCTGCTTGAGCTGACAGTTTCTAGTTTTTGGGTTCATTCCATCAATTTGTTTTCAGACAATTCTGGTGGAACTCTCTTGATTTGGGGAATAGCCCGTTCTGCATTACTGCAGACAGCTAGACTAAATGACCCTTAAGATCTCGGCCAACCTTGTCATTCCATGACTGAATGACTGCTTCTTCCTGACAAAATGGCTGTTCTGTTGAGTTGAGCAGCAGTTTGAAAGCATCTGGCTTATCTTTTCTACCCATAATTTTGCTCTCTTTCAAACGTGGAGTTCAATAACGCCCTGAAAAATTAAGTAGAAGATTTTCACCAGAAACTCTGTTGCTTTCTATTTAAGTTTCCACCAGAAACTTCTGTACCTAGCATGAGGCACAGAAATCTCATAAATCAGATCCAGCCAGGACCATAACTTGATTCCCTCCTCTCACCTTTCCCTCTATATGAGATGGAGCAAAAAACCCTGTAAATCTTAAGTTCTCGCACTAAAATATTTGGTGAATTAAGTTTAATGTGAATTAAGTTTAACGTGATGCTCCAATATTTGGTGCACCTTACTAGCGTTGAGTAAATTATTGTGCTCATTTTCACTGATCGTAGCAGAGTTTCTCTTATTTATTCCTCTCTCACTGTGTTTCAATCACTGTTTTTTAGTTTGAATCAAACAACCCTCCCACCAAATTTCATAGGGATTTTAGTTGACAGTAGCATGCACCTGAGGCAGTCATGCTAGCATGACAGATGGAGCTGCTACAAACCATCACAGCACTCTGGAGATTATATGTAGGTGTATTCAAGTAAAAGGCTTTTCCCAGAGTCAAAAGGAAGTAGCAAAGTTCTGCTTTATACCCACAAAAGCCAAGAAATCTAATGCCAGTATCCTTACATTTCCCTTTTGTACCTAGATCTTGACATGTCACATCTCTGTGGGTGCTGCAATATCTAGGTTAAAAAGAATGGATGAAAAGTAAAGCTCCAAGATTCAGTCTAATTTAAGGCGCATGTCAGATACTCTGGATAAAATATCTGTGCCACTGGAGTACACAGCTGTGCTGGAGTTAGGATTTTACCCCTTAGCTTCATTTTAAAAAGGTGTTTTTGCTTAGTAAAATAACTTGTGGTCTCCTCACTCAAGTACAGTAAGATGGGTTCTGTAATATGTAGTACTGTATTAATATTGGAGAAAAACCTATTTTTTAAAAACTGTTCACTGCCTACATAGCATTTGGATTGGGTTTCATTTTTACAAAGAATCTGTTTGATACAAACTGCTCATTTTGTCAAGTTTAGACAGCAAACAGAGCTCTAACAACAGCAACTGGCAGACTGGGTGATATTATCCACCAGCTACATGTCTGTTGGGTAGAACCTAAACATTATTTTTCAGTTAAAAGTGAAAAATATTCCAGGGTGTTCAGTAGCATGAAATTAATGTGTATTCCATTAAAAAAATAGCCTTATCACTAAACTGATTAAAAACTTGAGAAATATTCATGGTGAAACAATTTCAAAATTAAGACATCAAAAGACTCATCTGATTATAAGACAACTACTGTGGGAAACAGTTTTGTTTAATTGTAAGTGTTCACTGAAATGAGATTAAGGCTAGCTGCTCTTCACAGCTTGACAATAGTATTGTGTGCATCTACAGGACTGGAAGGGGATTCATGGGACACTGCCTGCATTCACCTGCTATCCCAGGTAACCACGTCATGTCATTCCTTTCACAAATTTATCAGTATCCATCTTAAAACTAGATAGGTTTTTCACATCACTACTTTTCTAGGAAAGCCATTCCAGAGCCTCACTGCTCTGATGATTAGAAACCTTTTAAATTTTGCCTTTAAAATTTATCCATGGCTTGTTTATACCCCCTTGCTCTTGTGCCAGCACTGTCTTTTAGCTTAAATAATTAGTTTGTCTCCTGGGGTTTACCCTCCTGATGTTTTTATACAGAGCAGTCATATGCCATCTCAGCCCTCATTTTGCTAGCCTAAATAAATCAAACTCTTTCAAACCCCTCTCACGACAGGCTCTCCAATCCTCTCATTGTCGTACTATTATTCTTTGCGCTTGTTCCAGTTTGAATGCATCTTTCATGAACACAGGGCACACCTACACATGCATGAATGTGCCTTTGCTACTGAGCATTAAGTTTAGTACTTCTAATGAGGTACTACATAAAGGCACATTAGCCCATGCTAATGCACAGTAGGCAAAGGCAAACTTTTTTTTTTTTTTTTTTTATGATGCTTAATGCGCAGTACACTCATTCTACTGAGCATTAGTGCATTAGCATGGTTTTTGCTGTGACGTGCTAATGCGCAGTAGTATAAGCTACTGCGTATTACAGTGTCTCATAGAGATGCACCCACAGAATACCAAAAGTGTACAGGATGTTCCAGACGATGTCAAACCACTGTCTTATACAATAACATTAATACTTCCATATCTGTATTAAAGCTTTTCTAAAGAGGCTGCATATGGCTCTCTCACAGATATTCCACACAAGCCCTGAAAATGGAACTAAAGGGGTATGTAATACTTGCATTGGTCCCCAGCATAGACATGAATTTCACCCAGAGTCATAAAGAACATTATGATATAGCCTTTGAAGCTATAGAAATGATTCTTCCAGAAAAAGTACTTATGTTCTTATATCCTGGGATCAATAATTTCTATTAAGTTGCTTTAGTGAGCACAATGTCTTTTTTTCTCTTTACTAAATCCAGTCTACCTTATTTCAATATCCTCCAGCAACTCTGCTTTGACACCTGAATATTTATATTCTGTACGGTGATAAGACATACAGGATATTTTAGTTACATCCCATTTAAAACTTTCTACCAGGGAGAAGAAATATTTTTTGTGCATATTTTTTAAAAAGTCCTATGCTATTTTCAGTTAAAAAAATAAGTGTAGAAGCCTGACTTTAGAGAGTGAGTTTAATAGTTATGAACTGGGCTGATAGTTCTGGTGAGAGTCTGTGAATCAACAATAGCATCACAAATACATGGCAGCCATGTATGTCCTAGAGTCTGCATCCAAGAAAGAGAAGTTAAGTGTTCATTTAGGGCATAGCTTCAATGAGTTTTGAACTGGACCATTACTTCATGCTACTGAACACGCCTTACTGCTGAAAATGTGCAAAGGGGTGCCAATTGCAGTGGCAGACCAACTGCTGTGCTGGGTCAGACCAATGGTCCATCTAGGCCAGCATTTTATCTCTGACAGTGGCAGAAATGGATGCTACAAAGGGAGAGCATTAAACTGGATCTCTAAAATAATTTATCCCCTATTTAATACGTTTCCCCTGGCATCTCTAAACCAATAATGGTGGATGCCAGGAAAAACATCTCCAACCATTGTGTTCAACAGCCATTAATAGATCTATCATTCATGAACTTATCTAGTCCTTTTTTGAACCTGGCTATAGTATCCACCTTCCACCACTATGGCAATAAATTCCACAAGTTATCTATCCGTTGCATAAAAAAGTACTTTTACTTATTAGTTTTAAACCTGTCCTCTACTAATTTCAGCAGGTGACCCACTATCATGCTGCATTCTCTGTGAGTGAAACGCACTAATATTTAATTGTTGAAATGTGGCCATATTCAGCACCTCAATTAAATTTCCTACAGAAATAGGCCATAGCTTTCAAATATAGTAAAAAGTAAATGTTTCCTTAGGTCTGGCCATTTAAGGGTTGAACATTTAGAAGAGATCACAATCTGCAGCAATTCTGACAAAATAATTCCTTGCTATTTTAATCAACAATTGCATTATAATTTAGACAGTATCCAGCTCTAAAAATTCACAAGCAACTGATTAAATGCATATTTTGTTATGTTATTATATAATACTGCATCACCCTTCTCTGAATAGTAAAAGCAGAGACTTAACTCAGCTGCATTACTTAAGCCCTCTCCCTGAAGACTTAAAGAGTTCAGAAGCTAACACTTAGGGCCAGACCTATTCCAGCTAATAGTCATCGAGGCGGGCCTAGGTGTCTAAATGTGAGACTGTTCTATCCTGCTCAAATGCTTGAAAAAACATTAGTGAAAAAGGTGAGTGACTGCATTTTGTGACTTAGTTTTAAGTCTAAGATGATGGAGTGTTACAAAAGTAAGAACATTAACAGTTTTTCAAAAACTCAAGCAAGGTGGAATAGGGCTGCATTTAGGTGCCTATGTCCTCTAACAGTGAAACAAGATCCAGCCCCTCGTGTAGATGATTCCATTATTCAAATGAGCAGGTAAGTGACTCTTGATCCCTGCACTATATTACATTCCAATCTAGCATGAGAGAGGTATGTGAAAAGGTCCCAAAGGTATGCCCACTCCTGTTGATTTTGAATGAGAACATCATACCTAACTCCCTTTATGCTTTAGCTTGACAATTCTAGCCTGAAAGACTGTTTTGGAGAATCTTACCTAGATAATAACCATACGTAGCTTGTTTGTATTCTTCCCAGGAAATTTTGTTATCTTTGTTCAGGTCGTAATCTTTCCAGACTTTTGCTACATTTTCATAAATGTAGCGTTTCTGCACTCGTTTAATCCAGTTTTTCAACTCCTCTGTTGTGACATAGCCATCTTTGTCATCATCTATTCTATCAACAATTTTCCTGCAAGAGAGAGAGAAACCATGGATACCTGGTCAAGGAAATGAAATGTATATTCCAGTCCAGTTCTGTTATGCTGCACAGGAGCCTAACTGTCTTTCCTCAGCCAGCGGAGGCAAATGGCCAGTGCTTCAGAGACATACCCCACTGCTACAACAATATTGTATTTACAGAACATGCTAAAAAACATTAGGTAGTAAATTATTAAATATTGCCATAAATAATTATAACTGAGTTATCATGATAAAAAACAAATCAATTGACAAAGTCCACGAAAGGATGTATTCTTGATATTTTTACAAACATGCATGCGAGCACACATGTATGTATGTGTGTACATATACATGTATAAATCAAATGCATCCTTTATTACACACATGCACACACACTGTCTTATCTTACTTAGAAGGAAAACCTTCTTTCAGGACCTGGAAAGAATGGCCATACTGGGCTCTGAGCAGATGAGCATGGAGAAAAGTTCTTTATCCCAAGACACAGAGAGGCTATAGTGTTACTAGACTAGGCTTCCCACAGCCAAAAGCCTGGGAACTTTGTAGTCCCTGCTGTGGTCTTTCTATGACGTCAGCATTAAGGCAGGATGATCTATGCAGGGCCCTATAGAATGCACAGTATCTACACTCCCTACACAGCCTTCACCCTACCTTCCCCAAAATGCACTGCTCATGTTGCTAGCAGTCCCTATGTAGGCCTTTATTCACTAATACACCATATCAAGCCTCCATCAATAGACCTCCAGTCACGAATGCTAATTAAGGCTCAAGCCAACATCTGGACAGTGCTGAGAGCCCTCTAATTTCTGATTAAGTCAACAACAGTGAAAGTACTCAGAGGCTCTTGGGGAGTCTCCCCTTCTTAAGAATATGTCCTAAGCAAAGCTCTAGCGTGCTTAAATCTAAACTCTCAAACTATGCAACAAGAATAATCTCTTGAGAACTGAGGCTCTCCAAAATCATTGTTCTACAAGTTATTTTTTCCTTAGAGCCAAAAAAAGAAGACTCAAAGAAGATGAAATGTTGGCCTATCAACTCAGTAGTACAATGATGAGCTGAGTTTTCTTTAGGCTTTCTTATACATTTTGCTCTACTGCATGCTTGCCAATGCACCACTGTAACCACAGTGGGAAGGAGCAGCTTTATGTTATAGAAGAAAGGGCATAAAAGACAGTACTTATATTTAAATCTCTCTCCATTATACCCAGCAGTGTAACAACATTCCTATTTATACCTGCAAGGAAAACATAACTTTGAGGCACAAGTGATATTTTTGTATCAAAACATGTATGGCGTCTCTTAAAAGTCCGTTTTTTGATGCACTGTTATTTTTTGTGCTTAACAGGTACCTTGTTGATTTTATTGGTTCAGTCTTTATCTATAGAAAAACATAAACTAAGTTTATTCTAAGGCAAAATTTAATCTTTCCTTTAAAACAGAAATGTTTCCATGCATTAAATTTGTTCCATAGTAAACAGTGTTTTTAGAATCACCCTGCACTGTTTGTACCCCAAATATTGCAGTCTTTTGCCAGCAAGTGCAAACTTAAGTGTTACGATGATGCTTACATTTTCACATTCCAAGCTGGGAAAAATACAAAATGATTAGTTCCAAAGTACTGAGTGTTAAGAACAATAGTAAAGTATTTCCTTTTTCAAATCTGCTTTTTAGTGTCTTTAATTATTCAAAGAAGGAGCCCACAACATCAAATTCTGCCCTCCAATTTTACTGATAAGAATGGAAATTGTGTGTGCCCTGCAGTATAAGCAGCCCAGTACTGAAGGGATCTCCTCTGCTATCACAGAATCCCTTGCTATCACAGCAAATGCATCACATAATCCCTTTTTTAAATTAATCAAGCTTCATTGTAAGAGTAGCTGGGGTTTTGACTCCCCACTTCTGTATTAGAAAGCCGCTTCAGAAACTTACCATTCTGCTGCTTAGACAGCTTCTAATTTTAAGTCTCTATTATTCATGGCCAGTTTACACACACGTGTTCTTGTGCCAGCATTGTCCTCAGGCTCTAGTGAATCTTGTCCAACAGCAAAAGAAACGTGCTCCAAGTCTTGACTCAGTGGCTAGAGACAGACGTTGCCAAATGAAGCAGATCAGCTGTCCTGGGATGTGTTCCAGCACAGGTGATCCGCTTCACTGGGTGAAGCGCACATCACCCATTATCCTGCCCACTGATCTTGCAGGACAACAGACAACAAGGTCCCTGTGTGCAGAGATGTGCCCAGAAAACTTGGAGGTACCTCTCTGGAAGCAGGGGAAAGCCAAAATGCTCCAGTAAGTTCACTGGGCAGGGGCCATCAATCAGCTGATCGGTGATCTCAACCCTGGGACTACACCAGAGTGAGTTTGACATGCCGGTGCAGTTCTGGGACTGGATCAACCAATCCCATTGGTGGTCCCAGTCCCAGAACCACACCAGAGTGTCCCAGCTTTCCTTGCTTCTATAGACATGCCCCTGGAATCTCCCCAGTTTGCTGCATTTGAATCAGTTCTCAAGTTGCTCATATACAACAATTAGAACATACCAGCTGCTGCCCTTTTGAAACATTCCCCTTTTGAAAGGCTACATGCATTCATGTGTCCACAGAATTCAGTATACTGCTCGTAATCTCAAAGGGAGGTAATATTCCTAACTAAACAGCATGTTTGTTCCTCAGAATCCTTCTTCAGGCATCCAACTGGATGAGCCACAAGTGGAAGCCTGCCTTATAGATTCTAATGGCTAAAGGAGAGTGCATTATTCTATATAACGAAAAAGAGGTGAGTATACCCCTTTAACTGCTCCTACTACCTTGATGACCCACAAAGTCACATAGTTAAAGAGGACCCCCCCCAGCCACTGGGAATTGTTCTCCTGCTAACCACTGTTACTGGAACAGAAGAGAAAAGTATATTGGAACTGAGTGGCAAAACTTTTCCTTTTTTTTTTTTAAAATCAGGAATCTGCCCTACAGTCTTTTCTGCCCAATGGGCGATGTTCATCAATGAATTTACCCCATGGCAAATATGACTTTATTAATTTGACTGACATCTCTATCTATTGTTAAATGCAATACGTAACTGATATGATTCTACCAGAGGCCTCCCTGCTATTTTTAACACTTCCTTAACACCCCTGGAAATTGTTGGGGCTAAGAAGCTATGCTGCTTGGAGACTGCATTCCACTTACATTTTTTTGCAGCTCAACTTCATCTCTTTTGTGATGTACATATCACCTGTTTGCTTCCCACTAAAATAATGCTTGTGTTTTTGCCGTCACCTTTATCCAAATGTTGTAAATACCTATTTATTCACATGCAAATGCATACTAGCAGTGAGGGCTTTGCAATAGAACAAAAAGTAACTTTTTAATCAGAAGAGTCTTGTTGCTCCCATTTAAAAATGACTAATTCTTTAACACAGCAGAAATTCAAAGACAGCATTCCACAGACACAGGGCTAGAACCAAAATACAGGCAATAAACATTAAGCTACTTACAAAAATCATGAAACCAACTGGTAAATAAATTGCTTTTCCTCAAAGTTCTATCAGCTGGGATGAGGGGAAATCCTGCCCCCAGCTCCTGAATGGTCAGACTAGGGCAATGTCTCTGTACAATGACAGTAAAATTGAGGGGACAAGAGGGAGATCCTGCAACCTACACGTAAAGAGCCTAGCTCTGAATATATTCCCTATATGCTAGCACAGACAGGAACTTGAAGAGCAACATAGATGCAAGGACTAAAAGCAACAATATAAGCTGAAAGGAAGATACCTCCTCAACACAGCCTTCCTTTCATATGCAAAGCTGTTTTGAATGGCTGCCGAGCCCGGGGCTCACCGCTAGCTGCCCCACCAGCAGATGGGGCCAGGGCTGGAACCTGTCCTTCCCCTGCAGCTCTTTCTAAGCCCCTGGTCCCATATCAGCAGCGCCCTGCTGCCTGGGCAGGGGGACATTGTCCCCACTCAGGCTCTGTCACCAGAGCCCACCCAGCAGCAGGCAGCTCCAGGGGGCTGAGAGCAATCTCCCAGCCCCAGCCAGGAGATAGCTGTCTCCTGGCCCCCTGCTCCTAGCGCTCCCGCTGGCTGCTGCAGGGAGCCAGTGCAGGGCCAGAAGGGACAGGAGCAGACTGCTGCTAGGAGCAGCCAATCTGTCCCCGACTCACCACACGTGCCCAGGGTGGGTTTACTCTAGAGCAAAGTACTCAACAGTAAACCCACCCCAGAGCATTTGCACATGTAGACGTGTCCCTTGTGTCCTATTTTAGTATATTATTTACTGGGCCATTGGCTTAGTATATGTATGAGTGCATCTTCATCTCCTTTCTTTAAGGTGCAGAGTGAAATAATTAAAGATTAGGTTTCAACTTTTGCTGATTTTGACTGTTACAGACAAGTATTTCACACCATTTCTACATAATGACTCTCCTGCTTCAACCCAAGCAAAAATTAGTAGGGGATTATCTACTACAAAGTGATACTGCTTATATTAGAACACCCATATAATACAGACTACAAGTACAACCACATCCCTAAGGCAGATCCAGGGATGTTGGAATGGTGCAGTCACAATTCCCTTCCACTTCATAACACAGTAAGTCCTCTGGAAGATGTACCAGCAGCTCTACCTCCCTGTACACCTGGATACCTGGGTCCCTTGTGGAGTCCAGGCAGCAAGAAGATGGAGATGAGACATTGCTAGAGCCTCCGTACCAGCAGGTGACACCTGCAGGGCCAGGCAGGGAGCAGGCACTGGAAGGGGGAACCTGCCTGTGGTCACCTGTGTCCCAGGCTGATGTCAGGGCAGGAGGAACACCAAGACCACTCCCGCCCTACTCTAGCCAGAGGGCACAGGGAGAGTTTGTGGGGGTCCCAGACTCAGCCAGGGACTATAATGAATGGGTGGCTATAATGAATGGGTTCCCCTTTCTGTGCCTGCTCCTTCCCCGTGGGCTCCAGCTATGCCTCACCTCCACTGCTCCCACAGTTTGATCTCAGTTCCTACTCCCCAGACTCCAGAGGGGACCCAAGCATCTGGGTTCATAGGGAACTGGAGCTGTTGACCCAGATTCCATCTTCACATGAGCACCATGCTAGAGCACCTGCTGGAACAGCTCAAACCAGAGGTGGCCTTGGCACAGATCAAGGTGAGCAGGGAGGCACTAGGAACCAGGGGTTTTGCAACAATGGCAGATGCCATTTGCACCTCCCATACCCTCCTTTTCAAAATCCTAAATCTACCTGTGACTGCATTCACACTAGTGCTTGGACTAATACAACTCCTTCATTCAGATTTGTAAGCTCAGCAAAAATAATGGGGGAGAATGAAGTCTTCCACTCATATGGTTTCCACAGCCTTGTGTTTACCAAGTACTTAGCTGCAACTCCTTAGTTTGTATCTATAGTGCCTGTGATTCCAAGCTGGTTTCCTATCCATGTACTAGATAGGCCTAGACTAATTAGCTTCTGGTATACCTGTAAAGTCACACCTTCAGTGACAGAACTTTCAAGGGTAGACCTAATCTAAAAGAAAATTCAGTGTTAGCTAAGTAAACCCAAAATGTTAATATAGCACATATGAATGAGACACATAGGCCATTGATTTTGTTTTGCTCCTGATCACAGAAAAATTTGGGGAAGTTGTCTATTTATGAAAACTCTTAAATATTTTGTTAGAGCATCTATTATTACCTACTGTTGCATGTATCTCAGTCTCACCAAAAGCCCCCCAAAGCACTTGGAACTCACTGTACTAGACAAAGTACAAAACAACACAGTCCTTACTTCAAGGAGGCTACACTCTCATGTGAAACGAGGTCCAATGAGTATAACAAATAGCAGGAGAAAGGGAGGTCCAAATTAGTTATCCTGCGGAAGCTGTGATTTCATTATTCACGCCCTAATGGTTCAAAAACATTTGAGCATGCGTTCCTTTTGAATAAAGCAACGATGACCCAAGCATAGGTAACAGGATGGAAAAATGTAAGGACAGGCTGCAGGAGAGGTAGACCAATGAAAAAAAGAGGGGGTGTGACACAGTAAGTGATGAAAGGGCAAACAGGGGAAACTGTGAAGGGTACTGAAAATGAGAACAAACTCGGTGCTGTAGCAAGGGGGAGGGTGAGTGGAGTGGCTGCCCTGGGCACCAAAGCAAAGGGATATCAATAGGCACTACCCAGCTGGGGCTGGGCCTGCCATCAGCTCATTTGTGGGGACATGGGGACAGGGGAAGGGCAGCTCCTGCTGCTGCATGCACTCCTGGGCAAGCTTGAGGGGACATGTGCCCCCTGGATCTGTGCAAGGCGAGAAGGCAGGCTACCACCGTGGGCTGTGCCCCAGGCACCAAACTTAGTTGTATGGTAGGAACAAACTTCATGTGGACAGAGGGAGGGAGGCGTTTGAGGGGGTAGTACCCCAAAGAGACAGGACAGGAGTGAGCAGAACCAGGGCAGCTGCAGCAGCAGTACCCACAGGTGAGGGGGAAGGCATGTTTGAAGGGCTCCACCCAACACCTGGCACTGTGCTCTATGAAGTGATCTTCAGTTGCCAACCTTCAGCTCCAGCCCAGCAGCAGCGAGAGAGAAAGATCGTGCAAGCATTTAGAGCAGAGTGAGGAGGACGGTTTTTCAGTGTCACTGTGTGCTGCTCCAGCTGTCCACTTCTTTTTCCAGAAGTCCCCTGGCAGCACTGGGAGGCGACTTGCCTCGTGGCTTAACTGGGAGCCAGCAAAGCCTTCCAATGCCTGCCAATGATCAGGAATGTGCAAACTCTGCACAGGGCCCTCTGTGCCGTGGCAGCCCCTCACCCAGGCCTCCAGCTCCAGCAAAGCAACAGGCTTCAGAAAGCAAGAGAAAGGGCAGCTCAAACCAAGTGCCCTGCCCACTTCTCCATTGAAACCTTCCCTTTTTTCTTCCCCTGTGCACTGAGGCAGTGGGACCTCCCTCTGCCACGTTATCAGCTGGGGGGGGAAGGGGTACTCCTCCTCCTCCTCCCTTAAGTCTCCCAGAGTCTGAGGCTCCCACCTATGGACAAGCCCAACTTTTGCCTTACAATGCCCTGTTGCACCAGGCTCTTTGGGGTAGATGCAGCATCCTTTATTAGACCAACTAAGTGGTGCAGTGGAGTGATTGTTGCCAACCAAATCGTTGGCAAAAACTGCTCTTTGCAAGGGACACAACACCCTTCTTCAGGCATAGGGAGAGTCTTGCAAAGAGCAATTTTCCAAGCGATTTAGTTGGGCTAACGAAAGATCCCGCATCTACCCAAAGAAACTTGTCTGCCTTATAGGTGATCCCGGGGCCGCAATCAACCCCCAGGGAAAGCGTGGGGGTTTCCTCCCCTCCCCTCCCTCCGCCCTGCAGGAACAGCCCGCATCCTGCCCCTCTCACCCCAGCTTCTCCTTGCTCTCCTCCGGCGTGAGCTGGTCAAACGTCCTGGCTTCCTCCTTGCCCAGAAAGGCCTCGTGGTCGTACTGGAAGCTCTGGTTGTCCTCGCGCGGCCGCTCGCCCAGCTCGGGCTCGGGGTGCACGACCCGGTCCTTCCTGAAGGTGGGTTTGCGCAGGAACAGCCCGCATCCTGCCCCTCTCACCCCAGCTTCTCCTTGCTCTCCTCCGGCGTGAGCTGGTCAAACGTCCTGGCTTCCTCCTTGCCCAGAAAGGCCTCGTGGTCGTACTGGAAGCTCTGGTTGTCCTCGCGCGGCCGCTCGCCCAGCTCGGGCTCGGGGTGCACGACCCGGTCCTTCCTGAAGGTGGGTTTGCCCCGCGCCCCGCCGGCGCACACCAGC